AACCATTTTTAAGTGAAATGAGTTTCCTCCAACCCTGCAGCTGTGCAAAAGTGCAGGCGCAGTTGAAAGGCACTGTGTTGACTATGCTAAGACCCAGCCATGGTACCTTTCCTATTTTAGTGCAAATGGCTATTAACGTACCACTATGAAAATAATTCTCACTCTAAAGACTTTCTTGAGAACTGCTGCATTAACTAATCCCATTATGGCCACAGTTACTTCCGAACATGGCAGCTCAGAGTGAAGCTAGTCCTCCTCTGTAATTCCTACACCCAGTCCATCACCATTTGTTTATATGCTTTTGAAACTCACATAAAACCTGAGATTCCTCAGAATACTTCCTCTGAATTTTCTTTAGAGCATAAGGGAAAAGAATGATCAGACACAGAAACTGTTAACTAAATTTATGGTGTCTACTGCTAAGCCAGTCATATAAGATAATGGCATGTGAGAAAGAGAAGGTAACAGAGGAGGGAAGCTCAAGGGGCAGTGAGAGCCAGTAAATCTAGGCAGGTCCAATGTAGTGGAGTCAGCGCTAGACGTGTCTGTGCAAGACTCAATTAAGCTTCCTCTCAGGAGAGGCAGCGCAACAGTGAATCTAAATGACAGATGACAAAAGAGAACTCACAGTGTGTGACAGGAGAGATAAAAGACACAGCTTAAGGACATGACCAGCTTTGTCCTCAATACTTTACCTTATACTTCTCTCAGGTCCAATCAAAAGGAATCCAGAGGCAATAAAGTAAATAAAATCCAAGCCATGTCTGAAAGTTTTAACAGAAAACCAAACTCACTGCTGCTGACATGATTTCCAACTCACCATGACCCTAGAGGACAGAATACGGCTGTCCCACAGGGTTCCAAGGCTGCATCTTTCTTCTAGTGGACTGTCTGATAAAATCCCAACCCCTGACCTTTCTGTCAGCAGAAGGCACTTTAAATACTACACCATGAAGACTCTTGTTGAAAGCTATACTCTATCTCAAGGGCAGGAAGAGCAAATACAAATAGCATTACCCCTCAACTAAGTCAGCCTGGACTGAACCTAAATCAGGGCTTAGATTCAGTTGTTCAAGTCATCCCACGGTCATGCAATAAGACAAAAGAAATAATAAGCATAAAGGTCGGAGCTATATTATTGGCTGACACCTGGCAAATGCTCTACCAAGAGATATCACTGCCCATGGCTTTTACTACTTTAGAGTCACTTCTAAAGCACAAGAGCAGTGGGCTGTGGCATACAGGTGTGGTGTGGTGCACGTGATTCAGGAAGTAGTGGTCAGTAGGTCACTTGCTCCAGTTTTCCAGCACCACCTCCAATCTGTCCAAGTGGATGAGTAGTGCACTCCACAAAGCTACTCCTGTGGCCAGCTTGCCTGTAACCAGGCCTCTGGTTCCTCAAAGAACTGCAGAGGAGACCGCAACTGTAGGCATCATGCCTGCCTCGACTCTGGGATGTGACACATGCAAAAACAATCTTCAAGCATGGGATGAAATACATCTCCAGATTAACTCAAAAGCATCCTGCAGCCCAAATTCAATTCCGTGACGGTGAGACACACCCCCTGAAGTCCTCCTTACTTTCAAAGGATTTCCAGCATTCAGTAGCTCTAGTGGCTCAGTGTAAGGAGTTGTGCTGCCAACCCAAAGGCAAGCAATTCAAATTCACAAGCTGTTCCATGGGAGAAAGATGGGCAATCACAACCCATGTGCTTAACTGCCTCTGAAAACCCACTATGGATTGGTCTGACTCAGTGGTAGACAACAACCAGTGAGAAATGTGTGCTTCCTTATTAGTGTGCCATCCTGAGGACAGCCAGCATGAGCAGTCCTGAAGTGGTCCTGCCTTCATAGTCACCATTTGTTCCCTAAAGGAGCCCCACACTGTCCCCTGGTGGACAAAATGAGAAAGTGCGTAGGGTGCCCCAGACACCAATACACATTCCTATTCTGGAAGTTGGCTGGCTGGTGACATCACCATGGTGGTCTCGCTTTGGTGGCAGTCAGGCAAGGGAAGTTTCTGGGGTCCATTTGTTGTGTGTTACTGTTCTGACTGGGGGCAGAATCTGAGGCCTTCTTGAGGGTGTGACTTTAAAATCCTGTAGGGCTCGAGGGCCACTGTTTTTAATTGGTTTTGGTCATTCTTTTAGGTCGTATAGCCCTGGTCTGTCCACTTGCTATACAGAGGTAACTTGTGGTGTCTGTGAAGCTAAACACTGTGACACTGATGTGTCAAATGCAAGAATGGTTACCCATGGTGGACAGTGTTTGGTGGAGCTCCCCGATTAAAACAAGCTTGGAAGCAGGAGTGGCATCCACTTCCATGATAGCTTGCCTCTGGAAACCCTATGAACCTGGAGAAAGGTTAAAAGTTATACAAGTGTCCAGGTCTTTCATTCATAGGGTTGCTATGAGTCGCCTACCTCTCAACGGCACTTAACAACAACAAAATTTTATATAGCTTCTCTTTACTACAAATACTGGGGGACAAATTTTACTCCGTTTTGGGCTTCACCTGCTGTGCTATTTGTCCAGGCAAAGAACCAAGACCCTCAGTTAACTACCAAGGTATCATTACCAATGACAGTTAACAATTACCACAGTATTCTCAAACTCTCTAAATACCCAGTAGAGAAGCCTTACAACAGTGAAGACAACAGAAAAATAAAGTCCAGTTTGGCAGACAGCACCCTGACAGGACACAGGAGGATCGCCCCAAATGCTCCTCCTGAATGGAACCACTCTGCACCCTTTCTGGTGGAGCAGCCACTTTCTGTGGGTTAGAACTGAGTGTGTGAGCCACTAGGGCACCAAGGCTCCTTCAGCACAATAAAGATGGGGTACAGAAAGGAGGAAAGATGATGCCAAGAAGAAAAGTACAGATAAAATGGAAAACACTGCCCCTGGGGCTTTAAAATGTCTCACCTCACTAAATCAAAAGGAATAAAGACTTATTTATTAACTTAAAATTTTAAAAATTCACTTTTGCACATAATATACCGTGTGTGTGTGTGCGCACGCACATGTGTATAGACAAGAACATTACCAAACAGTAGTTCTTCCAGAGGGTGGGCTTTCATTTTCCAAGCTGGGTTTTTCTGTTGCGGTGGGATGACTTGTTAAAAGCTGATTTGTATTCTTTTTCTTTCTTTTTAAAAAAATACTCTGTTCTAAGAGAATAGGAGGCTCTTTTGTGCCTTGTCTCAGGGAATGGCTGAGCAGCCACACTAACTGCACAAGCATGCTAGATAACGGTTTCAAAGGAAGGAACCCTGGGATCCAATCCTTTGAAGGAAAAGAGGAGAAATTCAGAGTAATTTCTCACAGCGAAAAACCTGCAAAGGTTGCCACAGTTTGTGACGGGGGGGACCTGCGAGCACTCAGGAAGCTAAGGGCTACGGGAGACTGAGCCAGTGAGCACTGAGCAGGGCGCACAGGGAAGAGCCTCGTGGCCAAGGCTGCCCAGAAAAAAGTAGGCCTCAACAGATCCTGGTAGTAACTCCTGTAGCAGAACTAAAGAAAAAACTCAGAATACTATGCTCAAAAAATACTCCTTGGGACCCTGCCTGATTCAAAGCATGAGAATATAAAGCCAAGTCTAACCTGAAGAAATAATGTGATGTTTACTACATATTAAATGGTGCATATTTTCAGGAGTGGTTAGTCCTTGGGACATCACGCTTGGAAAGGCAGAGGGCTAGGGAGAAAGAGGAAGATCCCCAACAAGATGGACTGACACAGTGACTGCAGGCAGTGGGCTGAAGACATCAGAGATGATGAGGACGGCATTGGACAGGACAAAGTTCAGATGAGTCACTGTTCAGAGTGTCACTTCAAAGGGTCACTCATCGATGGCTCCCAACAACAAAATGTGTGAAAAATGATCTGTAATCACTACATTTCCCAAGTTTCCCCCCAAATAAACCTACATTTATAATCAGAAAAGATGTCAGTAACAAAACTATTATGAACAAAAAATTATATTATATACAAAATATATATATTTTATATACTATTTATATAGTATATATTTAGTATATACTATTACATACAAAAAAACCACATTTCTGTTACTGTGCTATGTTGTGTATCATCAAGTGAGATGTGACTCACAGCTGACCCAGAGGGTTGTGAGAGGCAGTAAATGGCACAGGAGTGGATGGCCATCTTTCTTTCAGAGAAACTGCTGAATCCCAACTGCTTGCCTGCAGGCTGGCTGTACATCTCCTTAACACCAGGCTACCAAAGCACCTTATTATTGCTAATGAATAATCTCAAAAAACCCCCCACCCCACTCTTAATAGCAGCACAGGCATATAGATAATGTGGATCTGGAGGAAGCCTCAGCATTTGAAAAAGCCCTGCTTATTGGACCCTTGTCTGAAGTTCTCGTTTATGCCAAGGCGTCCTACAGCCATAGATGCCACTCAAATGACCTCAGCAAGACCCAAGCACCAAGGTATTTTCTCTGTGGCTTCTTTTCTAACTGAGGAGGCTGGGCTGGAAAATCAAGGAAATGCAAAAAGGTTATAATGGCACAATCATTTCAAAAGCAGAGTTTTAGAAGTTCTTTCTGGCATCAGTCTCATTTTAAATTAATACCAACACATCTATTTTGAAAGTTTGTTAAATCAGCAAGAAGGGACGCTTTACACATTGCCATCTCCAGTCCATAATACCTCCTGTTCTCACAAGGAAGTGTTATCTCTCCCCGGTTCCTCTGAGACAAGGGTTTTTTGAGAGGGTGAAAGTCACACTCGTGAGCTGAAGTGAAATGAATCATCTTAATAAGCAGCAATCACCCCCATACCTCCTTGTACAACAAGCAAAGTTCAACAACTGCTTGTGTACCAAACAACCTCCAGCTGCTCCTGGGAAGTAAGCCCCCAGGTCCGCTCGTCCCCCCCTGGCCAGCCTCCCGGGAAACCTCCACCGCTTAGCTGCACCAAGCATGGATTCAGGGAAAGGCTCGCCGCACAGAGGAGCTAGAGGGAACTTGCCTTTTCCATCTGTTGCTGATGCTTCTTGTAAATGTCTGATTGACCTAAAAAGAAACATTTAGAGAAGAAAAGGTTAGCTGGTGATTCTTCACTCTTCCTTATTTCTAGAAACCAAGTTATGATCTGGGTAAGCTCAGAAATATTGGGGTGATAGACTTCAATTCCACAATTAAAACTGTACAGTTAGGCTAGATGATCTCAGTGTACTCTCTAACCAAAAGACAGGAAGGAGGGTAAGGGGAGAGATACTGATTTTTTATCATCAGCTGGGTCATGTGAGCAATCAAGACAGAGTTAAAAGACATCCTCTGATGGCCTCATCTACGGCAAAGGCAGGCAGGAGACTGGGTGTGTGATAAAAAGATAAAATTCAATTAATGAACACGGTGAGATCGCCACATTATCTTTTCATTCTCACCTCTCCTCCCACCTGCCCCATGCCCCATCCCCACCCCCACATACTGCTAAAGACAATGTGGTATGACTAAGCTCTCTGGGGGAAAAGTTCCCTCTGAAAAGGTTGACTCCCCAAGTCCACTGCTACTGGGTGGATTCTGTCCCACAGAAACAAACCAATGCACTGTCACTGAGTCAATTCTGACTCCTAATGGCTTCCCGCTGGATTTCCAAGGCCGTAAATCTCAAGGGGAAGAGACTGACTCTCTCTCCCCACAGAAGCACTAGTGGTTCTGAACAGCAGGAGACAAGCAGTCTCTTTCAATCAGCAGCACAAAACACTGTGAACAATGTCATCCGAGCTCCTGATAACTCTGTACCATCCCGAAATGCCCCGCAGAGCTTCCAGAAGGCTGCCAATCTTCAGGGAAATGGACTGTCACTTCTTCCTCCCACAGAGCAGCCGCTGGCTTCAAATCATGGACCATCTAGTTAGCAGTCAAGTGCTTGAACCACTGCTCCACAGGGCTGCATCCAGGCATGCTGCTGACGTCTACCGTTTAGGCTGAGGTGCTGTGGGTACAGCTCCTCGCACACTTGCCCTTTCAATGGCTAGAGTTAAAACTTTGCTGAAAATGCCAGACCGCTGGGAGTCTTTTTTTCTGGCCTCAGTGTGCCAGTAACTAATTACCATCATTACAGTCAGACAGGGGAATATTAGTATTATTAATGAAGCCCTGGATTGGAGTTCTAGGTACAGTTCAAAGCCATCAAGGAAAAGTCTGATTTAAAAGAAGAGCACAGCACAGGCAGACACAATGTGGTGCAAATGAGGTAGAAGGACTGACACTGCCGTGCACCCTTCACTTGTCCACAAAACACTGCCCGTCTATCATAATCTCAGGTGACTGCCCCGTGGTGAGATGTGTGCTGTGAGGACTGAATGGGGCAACACGTGAGAGCTCATTAGCACAAAGCTGGCGTCAAATCAATGCTAAAGAAATCGGAGTATTTTGCTGAAATAATCTAATGAAAGTGATTCTCCCTTCCCTTCAATACTTGGTAACCATTAATTAAATCACTGGTGTTTATATCTTTACCAATGTGTGTCCTTTTTTAAAAGTGGTTTTATCCTTCTGTGATAGGCTTAATTCACTCAGGTTGATGACCTCAAGGTTCATCCATGCTGCAGCATGTGTCAGCACCTCTTATTTCCCAGGATGGAGTACTGCTCCATTGAATGCATGTATATTTTCTTATCATTCATCTGTTGGTGGGCACTGAGTGGGCATTTAATTCTTTTTGCTATTGTGAGCAGTAATGCTGTGAATACAGGTGTGTACACAAGCGTTAGGGTTACTAACATTTAGATCCCTATGGGGATCTCAAAGTGTGGGTCACAGAGTATTAGATTTTCAGTCTCATGAGGAACTGCCACATTGTATTCCATAACACCTATACCATTTTACATTTCTACTAACAACAGACACGAGAGCCTATCTCTCTACATTCTTGTCAGCACTTGTTATTTTCTGGTTTAACTGTTGTGTCGTTTTGGTTTTTATTTTTTGTATTATTTTCATTCTAATTAGGATATCTACTATAGTTTCAGATTTTCAACTTTCCTTGAAAGGTGCTTGTGTGCTTTTTAAAAAAAAAATTATTTATTTAT